AGCTGGGCATGTCCCTTCCATTTCAGGGAGCATCTGAACCCATCCACATGGCTGGGATGGCAATTCAAGTTGGAAATGCAGTGAGACCTCAGCTCGGTCACTGGAAGAATACAAGGGAAGAGCACACAGCCTGTTTCCAAAGGTTTTCCAAAAGCTAATGTTCCATATTAGCTGGCTGGCTCTCACATCAGTCTCGTCTCCTGTAGGTATATAGCTTGGGTTTGGATTATCTGGTGTATAGTAAGCTGCTTGTGCTGAGTGGAGCATCTCTCTTTACTGGGATATTTATAGCATCTTTCTTTCTCCCACGCAGATTGTCTGATGTGTAATAAGGGATGATACACTATGGTTTGGAAGGTGCTAATAATGTCTCTCCTGTTTGACAGTCTGTTCCTATGAAATTTATAGACTCTGACTGTCTCCGAGACCTCTGTGTCTCTGTCAGATCAGGTTGAAATCTGTTCATAGTGTCAGAAGTTGCTGGGGAGTGGGCAGAGGACAGACTGATGCAGCAGGATTGCATATGCTTTGCACTTCTTAGGAAATCAGGCTGAAAATGTGCCCAGCTCTGTTTCTTGCAGATCTGGGGTGGGGGACAGCTGTGGCTCAGATCACCAAACTGCGAGTTTGGAAAAGCAAGCTGGTTGTGTGGGAGGAAGGTGATGAGCTCAGAGACTGCCCAGAAAACTGCTCTGCCCCCAGCCCTTGTGCAGGCTGCCATGCTGCGGGCTCTTCAGTTCGAGCTGCCTGGGGTGATGAGCGCAAGTGCAGAGCATGGCCTCTTGTGGAAAACAGCCCCTGAGGACAACAAATGAGCAAGCCCAGAGCTCCTGGCTGGTGTGAAGTATTGCCTGGCTAAAGGATAATAAATGCCACAGCAGGAGACAGAGCATTTCTCTGAGGCCATTCATCCCCTTTATTACCCCGCTAACAAGCCCCAGAGCGACTTCAGAGAGACTTCTCTGGAGCAGCACCATCCCTCAGCCCTGCAGATGGCTGGGTGCAGGCAGTCAGGAATATATCGAGTGCTCAGTGAGAAACTGCAGACTGCCCTCCCCTTCCCCCCCAGATAACAGCCCCGAGTTTGGGTGTCAGCAGTGGGGACTGTGCAGTGGCTCTGGCTTTGCTGGCATGAAAACCATGCCCTCCTTTGGGCCTTGTGTGGTGCCACCCGAGAGATCTGGACGTAAAAGCCAAGCATCCATCTTTCTTTAAGTACTTCTGGGCAGCAAGGGCCCTGCAGCACCCTTAGGAGGATTGCTTTATCCTAACTCCCAGCGTGTCTAAGATTTAAGATTTATAAGATTTATACAAGACCCCACAGGAGTCTGAGGCCACCAGCGCAGAGGTAAGTTGGTTCTGCTTCACTTACAGCACAGCTGAGCCTGTGCATGAGTCTTGTGCAAGGAGGAGAGGGCAGGACTGATGTGTTCTTCGTAAGAGCTAATAAAAGCTAATTCATCCCTTTGCTCCAAGACAGTAGGAAGCATTAGCAGCTGGCTGAGTGCCTCCTCCTCAGCGGCAGCATGCTGGGTGCCTCTGCCTTCCCCCTGGCTGGGAGCGAAGCATGTCCTCAGGTGGAGGGGAAGGCATCTCTGTTAGCAAGAGCTGCACCGTCTGCAACTGTGTCAACAGGGAGCCCGTGGTGCTGTCTGTTGCTGGCGTCCCTCCTGGGAAGAAAAAACAGGCAGATAAATGGGGCAGGTGGGTCTGGGATTGAGGATGGATATACTTCGGGCCATGTCCTCTGCTGGGCTTCATCTCTGAGCAAGTGCCTCTGACCCAGGGCTTGGGCCCCAGCTTGTGGGAGCAGAGAAGAGCACTGTCCCTGATTTGACTGGGCTACAGGAGGCCCCTAAAATGGCTGTGGCCACTTGTGCCCACATAAGTGACCAAATAGGTTGGAATACCTTCAGCAAGCACCTCTGGTGCTCACCTGTGTGCAGTGCATGGGGATGTGGTGTGCCACCCTGCTGTGCTCACCTATCAGAGTGATTGTGTCTGGGGCATGGTGCACATTGGGTGAGCGTTAAGTAGAGCTAATTGCCAGTAATTGGTAGATTTTTCTTTTTCCTCTTGTCTGTTTTCTTAATTTCTCCATTTTCTTCTCCTCCAGGTTTAGCTGTTGGAGGATGCATCTTTTGTGGTCCACGGTAAGCACCCCACGTGCAGTGCTAGTGACAGGCAGGGCTGGGAGAGATAGGGAGGTGGGGTGGAGCCAGAAGCAAAAGCAAACAGGAGACATTGCATTGTGTTTGCGTGTCCTCAACAATGGGTAGTTTTGTAGGAGCAAAAAAGGAGAAAAGCTGCAAAGCCTTGAAGATGGAGGGTGCAGAGAGCACCATGATGGGTAATTGGGTTGTTCTAGTGAGGGCAGAGCAGGAGAGCAACAGTAGGTGGGGATGGTCCGGAACAGAGCTGTGGTTCTGGAGCGGAGCAGAAGGATTGGTGTGTCACAGAACCAGGCATCTCCTTGAGTGCAAGCAGCGCACCAGCAAGAGGACTGTAATGCTAAGTTTTTTCTCTCCATTCTTTACCAGTAGGTTTCCAAGCATTTTAAAAGGAAGCTACCTCTGCAGGTTGGAAAACTTCACATCTTGAGGCCTCAGGGACTAGTTCAACGCCAGGCAGAGGAGCCAAGGCCACTGCCTGCGAGCGTTGAGCCCTGTCACATGCTCTCCTCCCTGGCCCCAAATAGTCTGCCCTCCAGACCTCAGCCTTTCTCCCAGACCCCTGTGCTGACCAGGCTGATGATGGGGAACTCATTGGAGGCCAGTCATGTCCCACAGACTGGCTGCAGGACATTTTGCCTCGTGTGGCCACTGTGATCAGCTGGACTGCCTCGGGGAGGGAAGCACACTGCCATGTGAAATGGCCCTTCAAAGCGGGGTTGAATTTATAGGCGTGTGCTCTGGTCCTGGTCCGTGAGGCCTCTGTTCCTTCTCTGATCTCTTTCTGTTATGGGAGGAATTCACTTACAATCTGGAAACATCTGGTGCTTTTTCTTCTTTTGCCAGCACTGTTAAATGTCGAGTTGAAGGGAAACATAATACATCACCTTCCTCATGGGCTGCCATTCAGCCAAGAGTAACAGAGATTAGCCTTCAATCACACGGGGGCTGGAGCTGAAGGAAACCTTCCTGAGGACACGTTGGAGAAACATTTTCATTAGCGGAGGAGAACCTGACAGAGATGAAGTGCCCCTTCACCTCGACTGCTGGACCTCTCCCCTGCCTGGCATTAACAGGACAAGGAGATGCTAACTGAGGAGCTGGTGCCAGCTGCAACACTTTAAGTGCTGTCTGCATCCAGATGTGAGAAACAGCTGTGAAACAGTGAAGCAGTGCTTTTATAGCCTGGTGGGGGTGGCTTTGGTTTTTCTCCTGCTTATCAACGAGCACTCAGTGCTGGAAGCAAACTGGCTCTCTCCATGCTGTCAGTTGAATGGAGGAAATGGGTACTAGGTTGCAAGCTAAGTACCTGAATGGATACCCTAGCTTGGGCCAGAAAAAGCTGTCCTTGGGTGGCAAGGTCCATAGGTCCAGGAGGTATCACGGGGTCTCTCTCCTGCAACACTCCTGCAAATGTAACAGGACTGCCTGTGTGGTAGTGGAGGCTTTCTCTGCTCCACAGGCCCACTGTTGCAGGCATCTGCTCTTAGTCTGCATCCCCTCAGGGCAGTCGAGATGCTCAGGATTCACTTCTTCTATTGAAGTCTCCCTTGTCTTGGAGAAACACACCCTGTGCCCCAGCTGGGTGCCTGGCACAGACCTGTCTGTCCTGGTTACTGGGGATTAGCCAACAGGATCCCTGCAGTCAGTCAGCATCTGCCGTCCTCCACCTTGCCTCCCTGGAGCTGGTGTGCTGTCTCTCTCACTCACAGCTGAAGGATGCCATGTCTGGTCCTATCTCACAGGTTGGAGGGAAATTGTTTTGATTTGTGTGGCACATTGGAGCAGGGAGGCAGAGAAAAGAAAAAAAAACAACAGAAACTGGTCATTCTGGGTATTATTAACTCTTTGCAAAAGACCATTAACATCTCTCTCTTCTTCTTTTTTTTTTTTTTTTTTTTTTTTTTTTTTTTTTTACTCCCTGAAGATCATTCTCTGTTTGGGCCTGCCTGCAAAACTGCATTCACTTCACATCTCTGTGGTGAAGCTAAGCTGGTGTGCAGCTCTCCCCAAGTCTCCTCTCCTTGCTCCCCAGGTGCCCACCATGCACACAGCCCTCTGAGAAGAGGCTCCCTGGCTGGGAGGGTGGCAGGCTCAGAGGTGTTAATATCTTCTGGTATGGGTTTTATCAGGAATGGGATTTGAGCTTCCTGAGAGGGAGGCAACACAGCCTGGCAGCTAGGGGGGCATTGGTTTGGGACACAAAATCTTCTGGTTTTGGAGCATTCTCATGTTAAGGCACCTCTCACTTCCCCCTCCTCTCTTTCAGAACTGAGAGCAACCAAAATTAGAGGAAAACCTGTCTCCTGAGTACTTTCTTCCGATCCCTTCACCTGGCTTGTTTTCCTTTTCCTCCTACAATCTTAGCTCACTGAGTTTCAGTGCCGGCCTATTGAAAGGAAAGGCACGTGCTGGCTTACAGAGGGAGAGAGACCTGAGACAGGATAAATCTAGAGGCAATGATATTGGGGGAAGGCAAGTCAGCTCCTCTGACACTTTTATTATGGAGCCAGGCTGCTTGGGAATGAATCTTTCTTGAAGCATATGTTGCCGGATGACATTTCTACCAGGTCTCAGCAGTAACCTTTGCCAAGCCTTGCTGCCCAACCCTGTGCTTGTCTGTTCCTGGGGCAAGGGGAGTGAGTGTCAGTTGGAAATGCCACAGGCAGCAGGGCTCAGTGGTGCTTGATGCACCTCTGATGAGTTTGAAAACACTTGGACTTAGGCACCAGAAACCCTTCAGGCTTTGGTAACTTCAGCTTACGGATGTATGTGTTGTTTTGCAAAGGGAGATGCTGGCTTCTGCATGTGTTTTTCATTTCAGAAATGAAGAGGATACAAGGGAGATCAAAATGAAATTCTCCTTGGAGTTGCCCAGGATGGATAACTGCAAGGAAAGATTACTCCATGGCTCTGTAAAAGGAAGTTCTACTTGCTTAGTAACCTGGTTATGAGGTACTGGCTCTGCTTCGTGCAGAGGCTGGAAGCCAGGGGAGATTTCAGGTTACAAAGAGGGCTGGGCAGAGTTTGCTGCCCTCTCTGTTCCTTTTCTGTATCACTGTCAACTTAGATTTCACTTCTAGAGGGTGATGTTATGGCTGCTGGTGACAAAAACAGAATGCCACTGGCAGAGGTGAAATCTTTCCCTCCATGAGGGTATGCCTTCCTTTCCATTCCCCTTGGCTTACCTCAGGAACTGCTGGCTCCCAGTGCCAAGCAGGGCATGCATACCTGCTGCCCAAGGGACGATGTTTGCTGTGCTGAGCATCTCTTTTCATTGCTTTTTGGTAAGCAGCCCAGTGTCACTGATGCCTCCTGATGCCTCTTTGCTGCATGGTGACCTGGGACAGAGGGTGAATCCTTGTCACTGTCTGAGACAAATCAGGGCCATTGGGAGCTGCCATGTTTGCTTTCACAGGGAGCGTTGCGCGAAGCGGTCCTTTGCCATGCGGGCACCCCGAAGGTGTCCCTTCAGAGCCCCAAGGCCCATCTGTGTTCTTTAGGGGACAAGCCTGAACTAAGTCAGGGTCTGAGGAGCAGACAAACATGTTAATGGTTAATGTTCTCTGCCGGCTGTCTTTCACCTCCTCTGAATGGGAGCTAATCTCTTAGAAGAGTGCCTGTGCCCACACTGCTCCAGCAGCCCCTCTGCCAGCCTTCTGTCCTCCAGGGCCAGTTCAGCAAAGCCTTAGTGCTGTTCTGGGTCCAGCTTTCGCTTTCTAGCTGCTTACAGAAGAGAGAATGAAGGTAACTGCTGCTGCCAGGCCATGCTAGAAAACAGAGGCAGGGGACAGGCCTCTTTGTGCACTTAAAGATCCAAGTGTTTAATCTGATTCTGGTTCTCTGTTAGCCCTGATCCTGTCTGGTATCTTTTCCAGCTGATGCCTGAGCCTGTCTTTGTTTTTTGGATTTTTTTCCCTTTTTCCCTCACCTTATGAAAAATGGCTTTGCCATCTGTGTCTGTCAGGAGTCCACCGAGTCGGGTGTACGGCTCAGTGAATATACAAATGTGCGGTTGGATTGTGGCCCCCTCTGACAGGCCAGAGATGAATACCAAATGTACAGGGAGAAGAGTACATTCCCTTCCTCTGCTGCTGCTGCCTCTGATGGTTGTTTTTCTTATCCCAAGGAGGTGTGAGAATCGCCTTTGGGAGCAGTGCTTCCTTCTGCTCCTGTTCTGCCTTGCCAAGGATCAGTTCTCTGGCATCCATCATCAGACAAGTCCTCTCCCCACTCTCACGCCTCAGCTGCTGATGGGAATGCTGGAGAAGAGGTAACAGTTATACGCTGCTTTTTCTTAAAATCCTTCTCCTTCTCCCTTTTGTACCTCATTACAAGCCAATTGCCAGAATCACACAAAATCATCTTGGTTGGAAAAGACCTTGAAGATCATCCAGTCCAACCCTTAACCTCACACTGACAGTTCCCAACTCCACCAGATCCCTCAACGCTGGGTCAACCCAACTCTTAAACCCCTCCAGGGATGGGGACTCCCCCACTGCCCTGGGCAGCCCATTCCAACACACAACAACCCCTTCTGGAAATAAATACTTCCTAATATACAGTTTAAACCTTCCCTGGTGCAACATGAGGCCATTCCGTCTTGTCCTATCACTTGTTACTTCGTTCAAGAACCTCATCTCCATCTCTCTGCAACCTCCTTTCAGGTAGTTGTAGAGGGCCAGGCTGGGGCTTGAGGACACGTGCCTTTGCTTGCTGGTCAAGGTACTTGTTGAGAGAGGTAAGGATGAGATAGAGGGGAGGGGATCGTCTGCCCTTACCTGAGTGGCATAAAAATGTAATTTTGAATGGAAGTTTTCAGCAGTGTTATGCGGGACTCCATGTACAAAGTGCTGAAAGCACCTGAGCCCTCCTACACATCTCAGCCTCGCTGCATCCCCTTTCCCTGCTGTAGGTGACCAGAGCTACGGGTTCTGCAAGAAGGAACGCACCAGCTAGGAGACTCTCAGATGCCATAACTCTTCAGGGTCATGCAGGTACCCAAAGGGAGATGACAGCCTGCCTTGACACCCACAGACCTGCTCACCTCCTCTTGCCTCTCAGTTTCCTGCAGTCTGGCACACGAGCTGTGCCCCTGGCCTTGGTGTACTGAGAAGCTTTCAGGCAGGTGGGCTCAAAGATGCAGGCAGAAAAAGAAATTAGTCTCTCCATGGTCTTGCCCCACCTATCTGGTCAAAAGGAAGAGAAGTTTCTGGGAGGGCAGACCCCCACTTTGGCAGGAGGAGAGAGCAGGTAGCTTGAGCTAAGCTGGGTTTTTGAGAAGCAGATGGATGTTCAGCGGGGGCCCAAGAAAACCCTATCGCTCAGGCTAGCTGCGAGCCCTCCAAACTAAAATGTTGTGCTGGTGCAAAAAAAAAGCATTGCTCCATTGATGCTGAGCCTGAATTACCTCTTCCAGGTGCCTGATTCAGGACGAGCCACTAGCTCCCGAGAGGAGTCAGCTGTGTGCTTGCAACCAGGCAAGGATGCACCAGGAGCTGTTGAACAGTGAGGAGGGTGAGTGATGGCAGATTCCTCTGGCATCTCCACACCACAGGGCTCTTGGCGAGTGAGCACTCGTCTACTTTGAAAGCTCTTAGTGCTCCTGCAGGTGGGAGCCAATTTGTCTGCTTTCCTGCCCAGGTGCCATCTGTTTGTAGGATTGCCTCTGTGGTGGATGAGCACGGGGATGGCAAAGGGAAGGGCTGCTGGGGTGTGAGAGACGAGTGGAAAGCTTTCCTTGGGTGACTTTGGTGCTTCTGGCTGCCGTTGCTCTCTCTCCCCTGCATCACGGCAGGGAAGTCACAGCCTGTCATTTGCTGTTCCTGGAGCGTGATAGGGAGCGGAGGCACCACTAATAGCAAGCTATCATTTTAATGCTAATTTCCTAGCGTTAACTCAGGCTGGAGGAGGCTCAGCCTGGGTGGAGGAAAGCCATTAGCAGATGGAGAAGGGGGGGATGTGTGAGGACTGTTCTGCACCCCGAGAAGGAAATTCCAGAGAGCAGATGATTAACCACTACTGGGAAAACTGGTAGCAGGCACTGGGGTCAGTCTCTGGTGGATGTGGGAGGGAAGGAGAGGGATACTTTGTTCCAAGTCATCTTCCTGTAGGGATTTCTCAAGTCCTTCAGACTTTGGCTTGAATTTCATGTTTCCTGCTTGTTGCCAGCCCTCAGTGCGTTGTGACACAGGTTGCTCAGAGCACTGGCAGGGCAGAGGCTGGTGACATGGTTGTCCTTTTAACAAAGGAGCCGAGCAGTGTTGAGTTTAGCTACTGTCTTTTTGTGAGGAGCTCCCCAGTTCAGGAGCCTGGACATCCATGTTTGGTGGTGAGCTTCAAAGCAGGGAAATTTTGAAGCTCTTCTTGTGATACCCAAAAGCAAAGAAAAGAAACTTGCCCTTTTGCCGTGGGAACAAGCTTAGTTCCCCAAGCTGGAGAGCTGACAGGAGAAACCAGTGGCTGAGTTTGGAGTCTTGAAGGAAACGGAACCATTTCCCTGCCTTTTCCAGAGGTGGGAGTTCCCACATCCAGCCTCTTGATCATTCTCCTCTAGCCATGCTTACCACATGGAAGAGCCTGTGCTGCTCCCCAGTGTGGTGTAGTTGCCTGGGAGCTACTGGGGAGTTTAAAGAGTGATGACTGGTTGTAGTAGGAGTGTAGGCCCTGTTTGGGATTATGTTGGCTGTACTCAGAGAGGTTCTTCTACAACTTCTAGACCTGCATGGAAACCTTGGGACCAAAGGGACATGACTGACTGGGAAGAAACTGGTTGCCTACCACTGAGGGACAGCATTGGTTTAAGGCAAGGGCTCAGTATTCTCTTGGTCTGTGGTGTTACACATCTCCTGAAGACTCAGCAGCCTGTGCTAATCTAGACTATTGGCTTCCTTATTTCATATAGATTCTCTTAAAACCATCTAAAGACCATTTTTAAACTGTTTTGGCATCTAGCAGAGAGGCAATGGAGGGACAAGGGCAGCCATGATAAAGGGAAGGAAAACCAGCAACTGGTTAAATAGCAAAGGGATGGGAAGCTGGAAGGGGATGATCCTGTCAGGAAGACACTAGCACAAGACAACGTTAGATAAGCAGCATTGCTCACTGTGGTTATCAACTGTAGGATCCACCCTGGCATGGAGCATGACTCACTATTTTTTAGGGAGCTATTTCCATCTGAAAAAATATCTCCTATATTTTCTAAGAGCTTCTTCCCTGCCTTGGGTGAGAATAGAAAGAAAAAAGTGAAGGGCTAATTTTTTCCTAGCTGAAGAGAATCAAACAAACTTTCTCTGACGTAGCTGAGTGAGGAAATCAGCACTTTGTATATTCCCAAGAATAATACAATCAAGTAGTTGGGGGGAAAAAACCCATAAAATAAAATAGTGTTGCTTTTCCCAGTTCAACACTCTGAATAATGAGCCTGCAAGCCGGAGGGACAGCTCCTAGGAGAGGTGCCTATGTACAGGAGATGGACACAACAAGTGTCTCGGATGGGCCGATATCTGAAGCGATCTCTCTCTAATTTTCTACATCAGTAAGAACACAGTGCGGTGCCATCAGTCATAGTCAACCTCTCTGCAGAAAGCCACCTCCTGCCTTGCTGTGCTGTGGCATCCCCCCTCCGCTTCTGCCCCCAACTGGGGACCACAGGTGGCCCAAGCAGCAGCGCCCGCAGGCACATTTTCTCCCAGGGGGTTTCTTCTTCATTGCGTTTGAGCCTGCTTTCATTTCTGCTTTTCTCCCTCCTCCACCCCCAGCACCTGTTCCTCGCTAGTGCTTAATTTCCAGACTGCATTTCCCCTTTCTGGAGTCAGCAAAGTCCAAATAATCTTTTTGTCCCCAGTGAGGAGAAAGTGAGGGCTGCCTGTGCTGGGATAAAACCCCTGCATGCTGCCTGGAGGAGGGATGGGTCTAGTTTCAGTGCCTCTAGTGCTCATCTGGGGATGGAGAAGTTGAAATTTACAGCAACCCTATGGTTGCTCCTGCAGTAGCAGCCATCGGGGCATGTCCTGGGGATGGCTGATGCCTGGGCTGGCGCCTTTGCCCCAGCCCCAGCTCTGGGCGTGAAGCAGCTAAGGGACGCATCTTTCATGCTGGACTGGTAGTGCAATGCAGCAGCTCTTGGTTTCTTGGTTTCTCCTTTTGTGAAGTCCCCTGCTCCTTCCAGGCCTGGCCGTGTTTCCACCAGACCCAGGGACACCTCTTTGGCAGGAGCACTGGTGGTGGCTGTCCTTCTGAGCAGGCCCGGGCCAGACACACTCCTAAGCTGGCCAGAGGGCTGGTAGGACATGGATCTATGCTTATGGCTGTTTCGTCTACTGAAGCATGGACACAGCTGATGGGTTTTCTGGTTCTTGCTTCTTCCTCTGTCATGAACTAGACTGGGCATTGCTTAGTTGTGGTGGCTCTTGGACCTACCAAAACTTGGCTAACTGATGGCAGCTGTTTTGACACAAAAGTGGTTCACAGTCCCACTTCTGGCTCCATTGGCTGAAGCACCAGCTAGAACCAAGGACTGTGCTTTCTTGAGCACAACCCTAGACAATGGCATCTTCTGAATAAACCCATGTAATTGCCACCTGCCTCTCAGCCTCTTATGCTGACTTCTGAGAGCTGCCAAGGATCCTTGACCTCTCTTTCAGGCATGATTTCCTGCATGTATCAACCCTGCCCCAGTGTTGTGGAGCTGTTGCTGGCTTCTGTAATAGCGGCTTTGTTTACTTCCCAGATGCCTGCCCTTTCTGTAATGAGCTATAACTCATCATGGTTTATACAGTGCTCAGAGATACCTGGAGCAAGGAAGATATGCAATTAAACCAGCTTCTAGGCTTCTCTCTGGACTGAGGTTTCTGATCTCCTGGAGATGTAAAACAGGGAAGACAAGGGGGACTAGATTGAAGAGGGGAATAATTACCTAGCAGGGTAAAAGGGGCTGACTAGGTTGGAAACTGCTGGGAGCTGACACATAGGTGCAGATGAATGGCTATGGCAGGCAGGCAGGGTGGAGGTAGGAAAGATGTTTTTTTAAAGTCTCTGCTTTCCTCGCTTCCTCTGCTTTATAACCTGTTTTTATAGAGACTGCATGAGGAACACATTTTTTTATTAGCAGCTTGGGAGTGGAGAGTAATAAAGATTAATTTTTTAAATAATTCCTTGCATTATCTTTTAATTTCCTGTGGCAGGGTTTGACTTTTAAATCTGCAAACGGAGTTAACTGCTGAAGTGCTCCTCAGTTTGGAAGTGGCAGCCAAAGGAGCTGAGGGACTCGGTGGAGGTGGGAGAGGCCCCAAAGTTGAGCCTGGAGTCCCAGCCTCTCCTGGGCTGGCCGCAGTCTGTTCCCTGGCCAAAAGGATCTGTTCAGGTCTGCAGCACTGGGCTCTATCTTTGTCCCAGGAAAACTCAGAGAGATCTAATCCATACTGCAGGTCAAGTTGCCCGTTTTGCTTCTTTCTGTTGAGGGTAATGGTGAAGCTTCCCTGAGGAGGAAGGAAGGAAGGAAGCCTGATGGCCCTGCTGTGGGCCATCCATGCATCCCTGCTGGGACCTGTGCTGAGCTGCGCAGGGTGGTGGGCAGTGGGGGCTTTCCAGTCCAGCTGGGTCCCTACGTGGTCTTGCTGGTATCAGGGGGAAGTGGTCACAGGACTTGGGGGGGAGACAGTAGGAAAACATAACAAAGGAGCAGCTGCAAGGGAAGGGTGTGAGGTGGGAGAGAAAAGTGACAGCACTGGGGATCTGGTAGAAAAAGGCTCTCCCTTTCCCCTGCATCCACCATCTCCCAGCCTCCAGAAGCACAGAAGACCTGATGGTCTGCTGGGCTTTAACCTGCTTGGGAAACTGGCTTACAATGGAGCTGGACTACTTCAGGTGGGCTCTCACATGCCCTGTAAGTATATCCATAGCCAGGGTGGCACTGAAGCTGGGCGGAAGAGATGCCCAGTGTGCAGAGACCCCAGCCCCAGCTTACTTTGACCACTGACCTTCTTTTCATAGCTTGTTCTTCATCATGTGCTGACTGCTTGAGTTTGCTCTGAACTTCTGATCTCTGTAGAGAAAGTGGTGGAAGCAGAGAGTAGCTATTATGGAGAACCAGCCAGTGTGGACAGAAGCCTTTTGGCTCACATGGGTGTGAAAGCAGCTGTAGCTCAAGTGCCTGGTGTGGGCTTTGGGAAGGCAGAGGGGAAGCTGAGTGATGCGGGGAGCACAGTGGGAGTGTTGACCGTGTCCTGAAAAGGCATTTTACTGGATTACATTGTTCCTGTGTTGGAACCAGGACCGAGATGAAGGTTTTTGGAGATGTCTGGGGATGAGGAAGAGCCAAATCATGCACGGGGAGTACTCTGACCCAAACAGCTCCTGGCTGCCTCTGATAGATGCCATCTGGATCAGGCTTTGTGCTTGCCTGCTTTGGCAGCCCTCTGATGGCCAGGTCCACTGGCCCAGTGTGGGAGGACTGGCTCTCTCTCAGAGTGCTTCTCTGCATGGCTGGAAGATCAGCCCTGCAGCACGGCAGAGGCACTCCAGGCTCGATCTGGCCTCACTGCTGCTCCCACATCTCCCCGTGCTCCTGGGAAGAGGAGGAGCACACCACAGCCCATCCCCAGGTGTAAAGGTTGGTTGATCCATGCCAGGTCATCTGTGTTTGTAGGCATTTTCCTGGGCAAAGCTGTCCCTGATGAGATCTGCGTTTGCAGGCACAGTGCAGGGGGATGTGGGTTGCTCTGCTTTTGGAGGATGTGCGACTGCCTGGCACCAGACAGCCTGCTCGCAGCAATAAATGTGGTTTGGGTTCCTGTTTTGTACTTTGGCAGCAGGCTGAGGTCTTGTCCTGCTGGCCAGGCTTCATTTGACTGGATCCTCTAGTGTCCAAGGCAGTGACAAAAAGCTTTGCTGCATGTGGCTCATGCATGTTTTGGGTGGGAAAATGCATTCCTCAGCCCTCTCTTTGGATTCTTCATTTATTCAAGTTTTGGACAGAAAAAGGACCCTGCCCTCTGCCAGCAGAAGAAAACAGAAGTGCCTTATGGAATCTCAGGAGGGAAACTGAGGCACAAAGGGATGACTTGATGCTTGTACCACAAGCACCTTGTTCAGACACACCATCCATCCCTTTGTGTACAGCTGCCAACCCCAGTGTCCTGACATGCAATGAATAACCACAGCTTTCGGTTGTGTTTTTCAGCCAAAAGAAGCATCATTTGCTAAAGATACCAGGTGTTGGGAAAACTGGGGGGCAGTTCCCAATTGTCAGTATCTGACCAAAAGCAGAAACCTCTCCTGTTGTGTTGTGTTGTTTTTGTTTTTTTTTTTCCTTCTGAAGTCACAGAAGAGAAAAATGGAAATAAAAAGCAGCAGGGAGAGAGCTGTTAAAAAGCTTAAAGCTGTCACAAGGCATTGGTTAGTTTATGTTCAGTGAAGTATACAAACAAGTTTTCAGCTTGTTGGTTGGAGCCAAGGAGCGGGGATTTTTTGTGTGATAAATATGTTTTATAGGTCTTTTATGGGATTTTTTAAAATGGCTGTCCCAATAAATTATTTACCAGGGTAATAAAAGATCAAGGAAATTGTTCCAGCCGTATCACTGAGCATCTAAATCCCAAACTTTTACTGGGGTGGAAGGACCCTCTGAATTCCTGCGGCCTTATAAAAGATGGTCCAGGTGTGCTGTTTGTCTATGGCGTTCTTCTGGACGCCAGGTCCCCAGCCAGCCCTGGCACTCGACATATCTCCAGGAGGTCCCAGAGGCTTGACACTAGTTTTCAGCCCCTCAACATCTACTCCTGGAGATGGATAGCATTTCCCTCCACCACTGGCTCTCATGGCTGCAAATTTCTTGATAGTCTCTGACTCTTTATTTAAGTTTCCAAAAGGTCTCAGAAGCATAATGGTTCTTTCTGGTGTGAAATGTGAAGTAGAAATCACTTGAAAAGCAGCAGGGAGTTTGAAGAACAGCCTTAGCCCCTGAAGTAGAGGCTGAAAGGGCTGCCACGTCATCCTACAGATAGTGGGGACCTCCTTCCACCCCAGATATCTGGATGATTATGTTTTTCCTTACTTGGTATCAACCGCCATGCAAGGGAAGGGCCAGGTTCTGCTCACTGCTGGCCTGGTCTCCATGGCAGACAAGCCCAAAATAGCCTTTGCGGAGGTGAAATAAAAATTTATGGCTTTCCAGCCATGGAGTCTATAAATACATCTTTTGGGGCACTGGACCAGGCTTTAAGAAGTGCAGTCACTCTCCCTCCCTGCTTCTCCCAAGGGAACGGAGGAAGAAGAGGGCTAGGGGTCCTACCAATGGTCCCTGCTTCAGGACAGGGCAAATACTTTGGTTGCATCCCAGACTTTCTATAGTAAATGGGATTAGATTTAACTCCTGGTAGGGTTTAAAAGACATCCAGTTGTTAATGCGGTGGCTTTTGTAAGGACTCTGGTCAAGAAAGATGAATCCCTGTGTGGTAAGCTGGTGATAAATAAATTTAGATGGGAATTTAGAAGCAATTTCTGAGGCTTGAAAGAGATCATTCTGGAGTGGCCTTCAAAAGGGATGGTGGGTGGGAAGGGACAGCCGCTGCTTCAGGATAGCTCTCAGTATTCATGGGAAGGATTATTCATTTCATTCGGAGCCTTTCCAGAGGGGAGAGTCCTTGGGTATCTGATGTGTTGAAGTGAGACTGGATTGATCTTTGTTCATGCTGTCTTTAGTTTATATTAATCCCATGCCTCAGGGTGTCTGCTGTTTTCTGCAGGGTCCAGGGAGGAATCCTAATCTCCATTGATGCCCAATTTGGCTCCTGGGTCTGGTGGTGATCCTGTCTCTCTCTGAGGTGGTGGGGAGTAGCTACAGCTGGAAACACATCTGGGGACAGGGAGCAATTTTCCCTGATCAGCCAACAGGATGCACAGGGCTTTATTTGGCTTCTTTCTGGTGCCTGGAGGCTTCTTCAGATCTTACAATTTTCTGAAATAATTCCTCTGCTGTTATAAGGCCCTAGGAAATTCACAGAGTTGCTAATCTTCCTCATTTGCTTCCCCTGCCATGTTACAGTGGTGTTTTGGGGACTTTCCTTTGACTGGTCCTACTGACTGGGGCATGGTCATGTCTTCAGCCCCTTTGGTCTAACAGAAGCTGCCTTTCTGAGCTGTCTAAGCCTGGGGAGAGGGCAGGCAGTAAAATGGGGGGCTCGCTTCCCTAATCTGGGAGCTGGGCCAGCAGGAACAGCCCCATAGCATCCATTCCCTTGGCTGGTGGCTGCCAAAGTTTTGGGGTGTGTTGGCTGGACCCCAGAGGATATCAGTGCTGGTGGCCCACTTCTGTGCTGCATCCTCAGTGAGTGGGCTAAGCAGGGCTGTGGGCTCAAAGCCCATGAATCATTAAGGCTCTAGCCTGGGAAAGGTTTAAACTAGAGCTGTGTGTTTTAATGGGTGATGTGTGCTAGGGTCAAGGCTGTGTTATTTGACTATTAGGCTGGCAGCTGGGCACAGGGTCTCAGAGCTCGCTTTCCATTGTGGGGAGAAGAGGCTGGTACAGTGTCTGGTGTTCAACTTTAAAGAAGAAAGGACACATCTCCCCATGTCTCTTATTAATTGTAAACATGTCCTGCCAGTTTGGGAACGGATGCCATAAATTTAAATGAGGTCTGAGCTAGCACGGAGCAGGCGTAAGAAGCCCAGATGATGTGTGTAGGCCAATCTTAGCATCTCCTCCCGCTCGCTCCAGACTATGCAGCACGACTCCGCTGACTTTGGTGGCATTTCCTCCTGGCTCGCCTCCTTGTGATGGGAATTGGACTGCACATAATTGAAAAGGATGGGGTGTCTGCCAGCAGACTGCGAGCCACGTTCTCCTTGGCAGCTTGAGCTTGTTGGTGGAGAACAGGGGAAACAGGCTGGGGCGGACACCTGCGCTGGGGAGAGGTGAGCCTCAGCATCACAGGGATCCTAAATCCATCTCCATCTGATGGTCTCTGGATGTGGCTCTCCATTGCACAGGGCTTGCCTGTGCCTAGAGGGGGACTGGTGTCTCCAGCTGCTGTTGCACAAGCAGTAATTTGCTGTCATTCGTGATCTCCCCCTTGCTGGCACCAGGACAGACATGTGAATAACTCTTCCTCTAAGCAGT